CCGTGCGGGCGCTGGCTGTGGCGCCAGCCCGTGCAGGACGCTGGGCAGTCAGGAGGCGTCTGTGGCATTGCTCACACGCAGGGGCGCGTGGCGGGCCTGGCGGGACCCGCCCAGCAGGGGCAGCGCAGGGGAGGACAGGTTCTCCACCATGGAGGATGTGCTGGCTGGTGGGTTGCAGAAGGAGGAGGGAGGGGAGGGAGGGAGGGAGGGAGGGAGGGACACAGGAAGGGAGAGAAGGGAGAAAGGAAGGAAGGAAGGAGGGAAGGAAGGGAGGGAGGCAGAAAGGAAGGAGGGAGGAAGGAAGGATGGAAGGAGGGAGGGAGGGAAAAGGGAAGGAAAGAAGGAATGGAAGGAGGGAGGAAGGAAGGAGGAAAGGGAGGGAGGCAGGAAGGAAAGAGGAAGGGAAGGAGGGAAGGAAAGAAGAAGAGAGGGAAGGATGAAGGAAAGGAAGGAAGGAGGAAGAAAGGAGGGAAGGGAAGGAGGGAGGGAGGAAGGAAGGAGGGAAGGGAAGGAGGGAGGGAGGAAGGAAGGAGGGAAGGGAAGGAGGGAGGAAGAAGGGAAGGAGGAAGGGAAGGAAGGAAGGAAGGAAGGGAAGGAGGAAAGAAGGAAGAAGGGAAGGAAGAAAGGAGGAAGAGAAGGGAGGAAGGGAAGGAAGGAAAGGGAGGGAAAGGAGGGGGGGAAGAAGGGAGGGAGGGAGGGACAGACCAGGTTCCAGGGCTCTAGGAGCCAGAGGGGCTCCGGCCCCCCTGAGCCCAGGTCCCTGAGCGGCCCGAGCGGGGCCTCAGCACCTGGCCAGCCTCGGGGGGGTCCCCCCCGCCCTCACCGCCCTCCTCTCAGCACCTGGCCGGCCTCAGCCCCCCGCCCTCACCGCCCTCCTCTCAGCACCTGGCCAGCCTCGGCCCCCCGCCCCACCCTCACTGCCCTCCTTCCCCCGCAGGACCTCCCACTCGCGGGCCAAGGCGGAGGCGGCTCTTGCAGCGGCCCGGAAGGCGCAGGAGGAAGCCCGGATCGCCAGGGTCACTGCCAAGGAGTTCTCGCCGTCCTTCCAGCACAGAGAGAACGGTGAGTCCCACCCGCTCCCAGCACCACGGGCTCCGCTCCCTCGCCTCTTGGGGCCTCGGTTTCCCCAGTTGTGCAAAGAGAGGGACCCAGCGTGTGCTGCTGGTCAGTGGCGGTCCAGCGCTCCGTCCCTCAGCCCAGAAGCTGTGAGTGTGGCGTGGGCAGAGGCCTGTGCTGGGGAGGCCTGGAGATGGAGCGGGCGGGGCCCAGCTTCTGTGGGAAGACCGAGGCAGAGCCGTGCGGTGTGGCCGCTGTCCGGGGCTTCCGGAAGCTGCGGGGTAGGAGGGCTGTTGCAGGTCCCCTCTGACCAGCCCTGCCCACAGCTGCACCTTGGACCGCTGGCTGCCAGGAACCCACAGCAAGTGATTCTGTTTAAGCCCCTGGTCTGTGGGCCTTAGGTGGCCCCAGGACATTGGGATGGGCTCTCGCAGCCCTGGGAGGCAGAGATGCTCTGGTAAAGGGTGCTGCCGGGACGCCCCCTTGGGTCGGCTGCGGGCGGCAGGTGCTGCCCCGCAGGAACGGGTGAACCACGCCAGCCTTGCCTGGCACCTGCGGCTCGAGGGTCCTGCTTGGTGGAGCCTCTGTCCCTTCCAGCCCTGCCTCTGCGGGCGGGGAGAGCCCATCATGCGATCTACCTTCTGAATCACCGCTAGAAGGTTGTGAGGCCTGCTCTGTCTGTTGAGAATGTTAGAGAGGGAGATGTTCCAGAGCGGGTGCTGCAGAGACAGCCTGGCCACATAGGGCGGGGGGGGGGGGACACACCGGTTCTGGGTGTCTTGATCTCTTGTCTCTCTCTCTCCCTCCTTCCCTCCCCCTCCCTGCTGGTTGTGGGGCTTGAACTCAGAGCCTAGGCTGTTCCTGAGCCACTTCATGCTCAAGGCGAGCGCTCTACTTGAGCCGCAGCACCACTTCCAGTTTTGGTTTGGTTTTTTTTGTCTGTTGTAAGGCTTGAACTCTGGGCTGGGCACTGCCCCTCAGCCCCTCAACTCAAGGCCAGCACTCCACCACCTGAGGGACAGAGGACAGGGACAGAGGACGGGGTCAGAGGACAGGCGGGAGGCTCTGAGACGGGGACAGAGCAGAGGACAGGGACTGAGGCTGGAGGCCGGAGGGTGGGGTTGAAGGCTCTGGGGTGGGGCAGAGGCTCGGGGACTGGGCCGCAGCTGCTCAGGCTCCTGTGCAGCACAGCCAGCGGAGCGTCTGCGCCGCTGGGCGTGGCGCTCTGGTCGGCTCTGGGGACACCTGGCTTCCAGTTCAGCCCCGGGAGGCATGGCCGAACCAGGGACAGATCTGGAATCGGGCCAAGCAGTGGCTCCTCGGGCGGTGGCGGTGTGCTGTGTGCAGCGTGTGGTGTGTGGTGTGGTGTGCGGTGCGTGGTTGGTGTGCGGTGTGTGGTGTGCGGTGTGTGGTGTGGTGTGTGGTGTGCGGTGTGCTGTGGCAGTGTGTGGTGTGCGGTGGTGGTGTGTGGTGGTGGTGTGTGGTGTGTGGTGTGCTGTGTGTGGTGTGCTGTGGCCGTGTGTGGTGTGTGGTGTGCGGTGTGTGCGGTGTGCTGTGGCAGTGTGTGGTGTGCTGTGGCAGTGTGTGGTGTGTGTGGTGGTGTGCGGTGGTGGTGTGTGGTGTGTGGTGGTGGTGTGCGGTGTGGTGTGTGGTGTGTGGTGGTGTGTGGTGTGCGGTGGTGGTGTGTGGTGGCGGTGGTGGTGTGCGGTGGTGGTGTGTGGTGTGCTGTGGTGGTGTGTGGTGTGCGGTGGTGGTGTGCAGTGGTGGTGTGTGGTGTGTGGTGGTGGTGTGC